TGTATAGCTTCATCAGTTTCGAAATTATCTTTCTCTCTCAATCTTTTAACAGTTCCCATGATCTTTTTATGTGTAGGATTGCGCTGAAGTGCATACATTTTTCCAATAAAATCCAAATAAACTTCTCTGAATGCTTTATGATACACGGAGCGTAATTTTTCAAAAGCTTTATTTCTTATTTCTTCAAGAGAGCTATCAGGGTCTTCATTACGCATTTTACTGGCTGTTTCATTTAAAACGTCATCTCCTTGTTCATATGTGAGCTCTGTAAAATACTTCCAGATGTCAATATGTTTGTCCTTGTTAACATCATCATATTGTTTGCCATTGTCATTCCTTATAGTAGAAGATTCATCGTCATTATCTTGTTCACTGTCATCGTCTTCTTCGTAATGATGAGATTTGGATCTATTAGGTCTCAACCGATCGAAAATGTTTCTATATAGATAAGGTTTACGATTTGGTTCCTCATCTGATGTATTTCCATCGCTGATATTATTTTCAGACATACTGTTCTTATGTTTGAGATGCGAATGCCTATTTAAATTGTACTTTTTATTGAATTTTTTATAACACAAAAGACATGTGAATACCATTATTTTAAGCGATCAAATGGCAAAATTAATGCCAATTCTCCTTTTTATACTCCCAACTAATTTATTTCGTTTCTCATTTTCTCGTTTTGCTTGCTAAGTGGCTCAATTGGGTGTTCATTAACTCATTTTGCTTGCTCAGTCGCTCATTTTATTTGCTCATTTGCTTATTTTGCTTGCTCATTTGTTGCTCTTTTGCTCATTTTGGTTGCTCATTTGCTCATTTCACTTGCTCATTTGCTCATTTGCTTGCTCATTTGCTCATTTCACTTGCTCATTTGCTCATTTAGTTGCTTATTTGCTCATTTGGTTGCTCATTTGCTCATTTTACTTGCTCATTTGCTCATTTGGTTGCTCATTTGCTCATTTTGGTTGCTCATTTTGGTTGCTCATTTGCTCATTTCACTTGCTCATTTGCTCATTTGCTTGCTCATTTGCTCATTTTGGTTGCTCATTTGCTCATTTTGGTTGCTCATTTGCTCATTTGGTTGCTCATTTTGGTTGCTCATTTGCTCTTTTGGTTGCTCATTTGCTCATTTTGGTTGCTCATTTGGTTGCTCATTTGCTCATTTTGGGTGCTCATTTGCTCATTTGGTTGCACATTTGCTCATTTTGTTTGCTAATTTGCTAATTTGGTTGCTCATTTGCTCATTTCACTTGCTCATTTTCTCATTTGGTTGCTCATCTGCTCATTTCATTTGCTCATTTGCTCTTTTTGGTTGCCCATTTGCTCATTTAATTGCTCATTTGCTCATTTTGGTTGCTCATTTGCTCATTTTACTTGCTCATTTGCTCTTTTTTGTTGCTCATTTGCTCATTTAACTTGCTCATTTAACTTGCTCACTTACTCATTTGGTTCCTCATTGCTCATTTTACTTGCACATTTGGTTTCTCATTTGCTCGTTTTGGGTGCTCATTTGCTCATTTGATTGCTCATTTACTCATTTTTCCTTGCTCAGTCGCTCATTTTAGTTGCTCATATGCTCATTTTGGTTGCTCATTTGCTCTTTTTGGAGTGTTACCTGTTCTATTGTTATAAAGTACACACTCTTAAGTCATTATGTAAACAATTGATTAAACTTTACATTTTTCTGATGATAGTAAAATACAATATCAAGAAGAAGAAATACTAGATACTAAAGTAGCTTATTAGATGAGTTTGACCACAGCTGGTCTAGACTTATTAATAATATTTTGTCCTAATTTTCTTTTCATAGTTTAAACCAATAATTTGATTATAGTTTTCCTTTGTATATTTTGACCGAATTAGTTAATCCTTTATGGTAACATTTTTCTATTGTGTACTTTAGACCATATTTATGTGACCCCTACAATTATGTTTCGTTTTCTTTTGTTATGGAAGAACAGTGCGCCATTTTTTATTTCAATCTAATAAGGCATCCATTTTTTTTTTTTGGCGGGATTAAAACATTTGTGTGCTAAGCTTTCTATTGTTATTCAGCGCCATTTTTTATTCAAATCTAATAAGGCATCCATTTTTTTTTTTTGGCGGGATTAAAACATTTGTGTCACCCATTCTATTGTTTAAGTGTACACATGATTACGTCATTATGTAAACAAAGTGGGTGTGGATCCCCCCCCATTCATCATATATAATAAAAGGAAAATTATGTTGTAGTAGCTTTCTGAGACTATGTATTTTTCTACTCGCAACGTTGGAAAATTGATATCTCGCTCGACCTCCGGTCTCGCATGATATCAATTTTCCACCGCTGCTCATAGCAAAATACAGAGCCTCAGAAAGATACTACAACATAATATTCCGTATTTATTATATACCTATAAATTTTCTCCCTAAAATACACGCAAATATTGAAGCGCAAATACGCTTCAACGGATAGAAATTTCCGTATTATGTTAGTGACAAATACGGTTCCATATATGGAAGTGCCGGACTATTTTTGACGTTGGTTCCGATCTTACATTTGTATTACGTTGCATTTGGAAACGGGAACCAAAATTAGTAAAGGCGTGGCCAGTTTGCAAGAATTACGTATTCATCCGTCAGTCATGAATTTATTTCTTGACAACTACATTTCATTTTCTGAATAAAACGAAAAGGTATATAATAAAAGGAAAATTATGTTGTAGTAGCTTTCTGAGACTATGTATTTTTCTACTCGCAACGTTGGAAAATTGATATCTCGCTCGACCTCCGGTCTCGCGAGATATCAATTTTCCACCGCTGCTCATAGCAAAATACAGAGCCTCAGAAAGATACTACAACATAATATTCCGTATTTATTATATACCTATAAATTTTCTCCCTAAAATACACGCAAATATTGAAGCGCAAATACGCTTCAACGGATAGAAATTTCCGTATTATGTTAGTGACAAATACGGTTCCATATATTGAAGTGCCGGACTATTTTTGACGTTGGTTCCGATCTTACATTTGTATTACGTTGCATTTGGAAACCTCCGGTCTCGCGAGATATCAATTTTCCACCGCTGCTCGTAGCAAAATACAGAGCCTCAGAAAGATACTACAACATAATATTCCGTATATATTCAACAATCACCAGTAAACTTTTCATTTATATGAAAGTCACATTTTCATACATTCATACGACATTGTAAAATATGATAACTTTGACATGCGTGTAAGATCGAACAATCACATATTTCATGACATCAATTATTCTTGTTCACTTAATAAAATATACATTACCGTGTACTTAATGGACAAGTGAATTTTACAGATATATTATGTTCAATTTTATAAAAAAAAAGACTAATTGCTATACAGTCTGTATTTAAATGTGGAATAAACATTCTTTGAGTACGCAAAGAAAATACATATTACGTTTAAAACACTACATACTTAAGGTGAACAAAGTATGAATACTTAATATCAACAAAAAACAACTTGCAGTTCCTTTTTTTTTAAAAAAGGAACAAATTAACATGACCACGAATAGGGAATGCAGCTTCCCAAACATAATTTGTTCTTCGATTATTCAATAAAAGACATATTCAGTGAGATTTTATAGATTTTAATAACTTTTTCCAACATTTTAACATTACTTCATTTTTAAGCAAATTTCTATACATCATTGTCATATATTTAAAGATAAATTCCCTTATACTTGCGTTTTATATTCGGATGAATTTATAGCGCGTTTTATTGAATATACAATAAAATTTAATGTAAATAACTTTGAGAATTTTTCAGCATGTTAGAATAATTTAGTTGAATATAATAGACAGACAAAAAGACGCGGGCGCACATTCGAACCAAAACATTACATTTTACTTTCAAATCTAAGACAAGCATACTGATTGTAAAATTCAATTTAGAAAATAGATATAAATCATTTCGTACCGTGTATTGTCTATATCTTTATTTTAACATTTAAGGGTGATTTGGTTAATTAAACGCTTCTTTTTTACCGATCTACATATACTTCACAGAATGTAAATGCAAATTTGGACGTAAGCTCTTTAATACGAATGACCATTGGTGGCATTTCAACTTCTTAAATTTTCTTGAATTTTACTTGTTGCAACTAAACATATGATCTATTTTCGATTATTTAGCTAGTCATAAAAGTATTCTTTTATTAGTTAACTTTTGACCATTTTTGTGTTCAATTTTTTGTTATAACCAGCTGTATATTACATGCCTTGGTTTAATAAAAACTGAAAACTAAAACTAAATTCTCGGGTTCATCTTCACGAATTCACGACTTCATCAATTCACGATTTCAACTTTACAAATTCACGATTTAAACATCATGACTTCAACTTTATGAATTCATGTTTTGAACTTCACGATTTTAGCTTAAATGGATAAATGTAACAAATCATTGGAGCCGTGTCACGACAAAACCAACATATTGCGTTTGCGACCAGCATGGATCCAGACCAGCCTGCGCATCTGCGCAGTCTGATCAGGATCCATGCTGTTCGCTTTTAAACATTTTAACAAGTAGAGAAACTGATAGCGAACAGCATGGATCCTGATCAGACTGCGCGGATGCGCAGGCTGGTCTGGATCCATGCTGGTCGCAAACGCATTATGTTGGTTTTGTCGTGACGCGGCTCATTATTGTCTGTGATATTTTGACCAGTTTGAGCTTCATTGTAATGAGGAAGTTATAATATATGAAAAGATCGTGGTTCTTTCCACGTACTTGCACGTGCCTTAAATACATTGAAGAGAAAACAAAAAGTGAGAGAAAAACCAACAACAACATTGAAACATTGAAGTAACTCATTTAAAACTTCAAAGTTTTGTTCATGTCACAAAATAAATTCACTTCTACTGTCATATGTAATCATCTTGGGGGTTGCTTAAACTATGACAATATCAAGGGGCAAACTTGCTTCTCATATACTGGTTCTTTTAAACCAGAATTTAAGGTTAAAATTATTGACGATGCCAAACTGTATGCACATCATTTACTTTCCCCTGATCTGTATAGTAACCTGAACAAAGAAAGGGAGATCACTTCGTCGAGTGTGTGATGATGCGACGTTAACGACGTCATTCAAACATTACGCACAAACGTTTATGACGTCATTACGTTAACGACCAAATCAGTTAAAGACTTCATTTTGTGAAGAACTGCAGCTAAATCAGCTGTCATCTTTTTTTACAAACAAGAAACTATTAGAATGGATACAATATATCAGCCTACATTTGTTTTTTCGCGGAACGGAACACTGATGTAAGTTTATCTTTTTATAACATTGCCGATCAGAAAATCAATGAAGGAAATTTGATCTCTGAATGAAATTTTCATATTCCTTTGTGAGAAGTGAACACAAAATCATATTCATTCTTACAACTGTTATACAAGATTTTATCTTCGAAGCTACAAATAAAATTATCCTCAGTGCCATTTGATAAACTTATTTGTATTGTTATTTAATACTAATGTTATTCTCTTCTTCTTCTTTTCCTTCTTTTCCTTCTTTTCCTTCTTCCTTCTTCTTCTTCTCCTTCTTCTTCTTCTTCTTAATAATACTAACGTTCTTCTTCTTCTTATCATCATTATTATTATTATTATTATTATTATTATTTATTAATATTGATATAGAATATATCCCACTGACTTATGATATCAATGATTGTTCCATGTACATGTACATTTTATACTTTAAGGCATTTCAATATTGACAGCAAACAGAAATTCTCTATTAGCTTTATCTATTTAGTGTTCTAGTATGTTAAATTACTTTAATTTGTAGAACCAATCGGTTTGTTGAGTTTCGGAAGTTGTGTGCAACTTTTGCGGATGAAATTACAAAAGGAAAAGATCCAACAGCAAAAATATTAACCAGGATTACACAATTCCCGCCACTTAGGGGTAACCGCAACATATTCTTTTATCTTTAATATTTATCATTAAACTACAGTATAATTAATTGCTTTTGTTCTTTTCATTATCCAGTAACAATCCTTTTGGAATATATTCGTGTGCACTTTCTTTTTAATATTCATTAATCTATGAGTTTGTTCGTATGTGAAATTTCTTTATTCACTATCAATCTTACAGGATATTCAAGTTTTTTTTTTGCTATCAATACGGGATCTATTTTCATCGAGTGGTATGAAGATAAACATTTCACGATAGGCGGCAGCCACGAGTGAATATATGTATTTTTATACCACGAGATGAAAATGAATCTCGTATTTACTGCTCCGTTTTTTTTCTCTTTTAGACCTAAATTGCCATCCGAAAAACTTTCCTTTTAATTTTTTTCTATAAACTGAATTTAGAAAAATGCAATCCGGGAAGATACTAGTGAAAATACGTAAAATATGTTTCACTGCATTGAATAAAAAGTTTTTACGATGAAAATGCGGAATATTAAAATATGTATTTTATTTCATCAATATTTCGTTTATAATTGAGTATATTCGTGTTTGCAGTCTTTTTATTCAATATTGATTTATCTATGAAAATAATAGTGCATGTACTTTCTTTATTCTTTTAAAAGTATATTCAATATTATTTTCTGTCGACATGTGTATTTTTTTCAACAGTTGTGCGGCTTTCTTTCTTATTGTCAAATTTTATTTTAAGGGAAAGGAAAATCAGTGTTAACTTTACTTTGAGTCAAAATTCTTCTGACTCTTCATTTAAGCTGTCCAAATATATTTCTGTTTATAGTTGTAAATTCGGAGGCCACGCCACATCTTTTCTAAACTTGTGATATTATGTTACAGGTGTCCCCCTTTTAAACGAGGCATTTGATTTACTGAAGGATTCTGCGTTTGAATACCATATGTCACGTGACAAGGGTAACATTGACCATTGGCTTGAACCACATGACCAAGGAGATTCAAAGGGTTCGAACCCTTCATTAAACAATTTGAGGAGAATAAGACAGAAAGATGATGCGTAAGTAAAGAACATGTATTATCCCATGGTCTTTGTTTTTTAAATTTGATAATTTAGAAACACATATTAAATTGCATGAGATAACTGCCTGTGCCACCTTTTCAATTTATTAATTGGACTTGCCCATCTTTCAATCTGGACATAATCATTCATGAATTTAGGGCAATTTCCTACATTATCTATTGACTGCACATAGTAACTGAATAGCGAATAGTTCAGACCATTATCACGAATGTACCGACTGGTTTTCGTCTGCACTGGTCGCATTGGTAGAATTTATTGCCGACAGCAGGTTAAAGGTCAATTTATATAAACTAAAATCATTAAAACTGAATGCGTTTGTTTTATGTTAAATACAATGATATATTTCTAGCATTTGTATTTTGTTCTATATAGGTTCTTACCTAAAAAAGAAATGACCACATGTACGAAACTGTTCCGGAAATTGTCACAGATCTGCCATAAACACGAGCAAGCACTTGAATCCTTGAGGAAAGCTATTAAGGTAAGCCTTTGTTCTAACTTATTTTAATACACAGGTGCTGACAATTCTTATCCATTGATAAAAGTTATATTGTTAAAAGTAATTTATATTAAATTAATGAAGCAAATCTATATAAAGTTGCATCGTTTGAAATAAAGCCACTTACATTGGTTGTTTTATATTTCATCAACGTTTCCGGATCTTTATGTATAATTTTGGATAGAATTTCTACAGGTTTCAAAAGCTTTTCATAAAGATATACAAATGCGTATCTGTTTCCAATTATCTAATACAATGTTATAATATATATATTAAAGTACAATGTACAAGCAATTAAGAGTCTTCTAGCCGCCTCCGCTTCCAAAACATTGAACGAATTTTAATAACGCTTTTTGAACCATTACGATGTATATTTCATAAAAAAATACATGTTATATTATATTTTATTTTTTACTAACTTTTTATGAGTAGGAATACAAGGAACTGGACCGGAATTGTATGGAAGCATACAGACAGATGAATGCAGCAGCCGACAATTTCAACGAGTATGCTAACGATATCGACAGCCAAAATTGCTTTAAAGAAGCTAGCTTTGAAGCACACAAGGTTTATATTCAGATGACAAAAGAATATATCACGTGCAAAGAAAAGTCCAAGCTGGCATTAGAGAAGATGTACCCTCTGTACAAAACAGAAAAACAAATCAGAGAGGAGCGTATGAATAAGGTATGATTCTACTTTTGAAAAAGCTGACAATGAAATTAAAATCTATTTACTACATGTATCTATACAAATTGTCGTCTGCTGGATTATACTAAAAATGGTAGGAATAAGAGTAAAAGGTTGTAGCTGTACAGTTAAAAAGATGTTCCTAAATAAGCAATGATCTATATACAGATGTAGTACTCTGTAGCTGTAGCTATTAAAAGTTTCCAAATGAACATGTGTGTGTATTGTCAGTTGATTTTGACATCGCCTTTAACGTCACATGATGGTTATTCAGTATGCCACGTGGTTGTGTCAAGCGGACAATATTCCTGTTATTTCGAATATCGACTTCATAACAAAGTGTTTTTCTTTTTCTTTTTTCCAAAAGTACTCAGGCCCTTGTATAGATAAAATAAATTTAGCGATTAACCTCTTGCAAGTCAACTATCTAGCCGTAAGAATGAGAAAATGATTTGTTTTCGTCAACTAAATCGTACCATTATTTAAAGGGACAGCACTGAGATTTTGGCTTTTTTTATACGGCGGGACTGGAAATATTTTTTTTCCAAGATTTATGAACCATTTGATGTAGGTCCGCACCCATAAATTGTGTTCAAATTTCAAGATCCTTCCCTCCTCCGGAATAATCCTTTTAATTGCGCAAAATGACCAAAAAAAAATTGTTGAACTCCTCGCCACTTACTACTTACTTTACTTATATATTCATATACTCTTGACTTTACAGTTAGACAAGGATCTAAGAACCATGATAGTGAGAGAGATGGAGGACACACTGACAGAAGGAATGAAAATATTGACGACGATAGCTGCAGCAGCTCGTTTCTCTCCGTAAGTTTACACCTGATTTTCTCGACGTTCCCCCCAGAGTAGTTGACGAATAAATAATCACATCCTCCTCTCTGTGCTTTTTCTCCGAGTGGTCAATAATTGTTTTCCCGAGCAGATTGCATGAGTAGTTTGGACATGCTTTTCTTAAAGAAGCTAACACTTGCTTCTGTCAGTGTGTTTTACTGGGTTTTTTTTCTCCGAGTAGTTTTCACATACTTAAATCCGTGAATGTATACACCATTATTTTTCCTGCGAGTAGTTTACATTTACTTTTCTCCGAGTAGTTTACAGTTACCTTTCTCCGAGTAGTTTACAGTTACTTTTCTCCGAGTAGTTTACACAGGATTTTGTCCAAAAACTAGTAGTCACTTAACTAAAACTTCCTTACCATTAGATTAATGGTCATTATAATTGTCTATTGTATTCCATTTCAGAATTGAATTTAAGGGTCTTTTGTCTTTATTTTTACCATGTCTTCTGTAAAATGACCTGCATTTTTTTATTTCAGAGATCTTATCGATACAATTGGAAACTTCGATTGTGCCATCATGGCGGAAAAACTTTACAAAGATTTGTGCATGAAGTATTTCCATCCAGTCATAAATCAGGTCAGTCTTTTATCATTTCACATGTTTATATATATGTGAATGATACATTATTACTCTATTACAGTCGTTCAATTTTATTAAAACACTTGGTCTGTTCTTATTATAAGTATCACTGAAAGGGAAAATTATTTTACTATGTTAACACAAAGAATATTGGCGGTAAGTGAATCCAAGCGACCAGTGCAGACCAAAAATCAACCTTACGTCCTTGTCGTCTGCACAATTCACTATCCAGACGTATTTTGAAAATTTCCCTAAAACGGTAAATGGTTTGGTCCAGATTGAAAGTTGGACAAGTCCATTTAAGATTTTTAGCAGGATATGGGTTAAGAATACACATATAAAACTGAATGATTTTTTTTAACTAATTATTTAACAGAATAAAATCACATTAATTTTGACATGTCCAGAACTTAACAATATCACACAAAAGGTCATGTTTGGATATGAACAAGGCACCGTTTGTTTTAAATATTTTGTATTCTGAGATAATTTATGTTTATTTTCAATAGAAACATCTTGGCGAGGTACTGGGAAACACGTTCTACTCTTCCCCACACGTTTATGTCATGGATAAAGATGAGCGGAGATTTCGAAAGCATGAGAGTTGTTTATCTCTACTAGAGGGAGAATCAAAACGTAATTATGTTCATCATTTCATAATGCGATGATGCTTTATACTTATTTATAATGAAAATGCTTTTAAACACCGTTTGAAATATGATAGCGCAAATAAATTTTGAAACATTGTTATATACCAGGAATGTATGTACCACTAAATAATTTACAGCGATAGTAATTATGTTTCTTTTAAAACATTTCATTATTTTGATGACACTTATTAACTAATTATCAGAATTGTTGTTAACAATGGTATAAATATCATGGTAATTTTTCAATATATAGTTAAAATAAGAGGAGCTCTATGTATGGTCGTATAAATGACATTGTATAAATATCATGGTAAAATATTATGGTATAAATGTCATAGTTTAATATTATGATATAATATTATGGTATAAATACAATGGTATAAATGTCATTGTATAAATGCCATGGTATAGATATTGTGGTATAAATGTCATGGTGTAATATCATGGTACAAATGCCAAAGTATAAAATTTAATAACATCATGATATAATTATAATATCATAGTATAAATGAAGTGGTATAAATGTTATGGTATAAATGTCTTGGTGTAAGTGTTATGACATAAATGTCATGGTATGATAGTCATGGCATATTTCCATTGCAGTGTTTAGACAAGAGGAGCTGTATGTATGGTCAAATTACACTTTAAATGTTGAAGAAAAAGATGATATGCTCAAGTTAAAACATGGTGAGAAATTTCTTTATCTTTCTATATGAATTATCTTAATATGTAACTGTGATTCAACAAACTCACTGATAATAAAATTTCGACTCTAAGTTTAGTATTCCTTTCTTTGCTTTTTGTTTTCTTTTATTAAATCAAACATTCATTATATTGTATTCAAAGGAAGTTAATGCAATATTTTAACCATTACACAGGATGTCATTTTTCAAGATGTATTATTAAAGACGAAAAAACAGAAAAGAAAAAAAAGAAAGAAAACAACAACAATACAACATAACAAAAAGCACAATAAAAACCAACAAAAACAACAACAAAAACCAACCAAACAAACAAAAACGACTTAAAAAAAACAACAACAACAAAAACACACAAAAAAAATCTCCAAAAACAACTTGAAAACTTTGGATACCCCTTACACCATAGTTACGGAATGCCGTTAGGGCCATTGCCTATGAATGTGTTGATCTGAAACGCGATAGTCGATAGTACGATGGTGAAAACGTGAAATCACGAAACTACGATGGTGAAAACGCGAAAGTACGATGATGAAAACGCGAATATACGATGATGAAAACGCGACAGTACGATACTACAAGAACGATGATGAAAACGCGATAAACTATCGTGTTTTCACCATCGTACTGTCGCGTTTTCACCATCGTAGTTTCGTGATTTCGAGTTTTCATCATCGTACTGTCGTGTTTTCATCATCGTACTTTCGCGTTTTCACCATCGTACTATCGCGTTTTCATCGTCGTACTGTCGTGTTTTCATCATCGTACTATCGCGTTTTCACCACCGTACTGTCGTGTTTTCATCATCGTACTATCGCGTTTTCATCATTGTACTATCGCGTTTTCATCATCGTACTATCGTGTTTTCACCATCGTAGTTTCGTGATTTCGTGTTTTCACCATCGTACCATCGACTATCGCGCTTCAGATTAACACATTCATAGGCGATGGCCCTTACGGCATTCCGGAAAGCCGTTAGGGCCATCGCCTATGAATGGTTTGATCTGAAACGCGATACTCGACAGTACGATGATGAAAACGCGAAATCACGAAACTACGATGGTGAAAACGCGACAGTACAATGGTGAAAACACGATAGTTTATCGCGTTTTCATCATCGTAGTATCGTACTGTCGCGTTTTCATCATCGTACTATCGCGTTTTCATCATCGTAGTTTCGCGTTTTCACCATCGTAGTTTCGTGATTTCGCGTTTTCACCATCGTACTATCGACTATCGCGTTTCAGATCAAAACATTCATAGGCGATGGCCCTAACGGCATTCCGTACATAGTTACTGATTCAAGTGTCGTAATGTCAAAGGCTATATGTGACTTTTTCCTGCAAATTGTTAAGTTTTGATTTTAGAATAATCATTTGTGTTTTTTAGATATGGACATCAAGCAGAAGTTTTGTTCTGTTGACGGCAGACTTGCGTTTGGATGGACAAGGAAGTTCGACTGCGGAAAGAAACATTATGGATTCTATCCCACAAATGTGACAAGACTAGTTCGATGAAAAAATTTTAACCACTATGATTTTTATAAACATGAAAATATTAAATGTATACATTTATTTTGGAGAACATTCTGTTGTTGTTTTTGTTGTTGTTGTTTTTTATTTACCATTAAGTTATCGGGAGAATTTCAGTGACAGGACATGTAACGCCACATCAGACGAAATAATAAATGTTTAAAAAGCATCTTATAAAATTTTTGAAGTCAAAACTAGGAGAAATGTTGTGTGTTAGAAATATGAAAGATGCTCCTCTATTTGAAATAATATTTGCACCTTTAATTAATCAATTAGTGATCCGACGCATTTTTTTCAGTTTTTGAAACCGGTGCTATTTTGTTGAAATTCAACACAAAGACAGAACCGCATACCCTCCAAACACACTAACTCAGATTTTTCAAGACTACAAAGATATATGCGAAACACGTGCACTTGAAGATAATAAATGTGTTATAAATGCACTTTTTAATGTGAGGTGACAGTACTTTTCGACATGCATTCAAACAGGGGAAATTCCAGAAATATAAGCACATCATAGGTTGTATCACTATTAACTGCCGTCAGGTAATTTCATTGATTGGAAAATTTCTAACAATTGCTTAAAAGATTATCAAGTTGTTTATTTTCTACTTTCATATTTTCACCAAAATTTATTGCATCCTTCGAAGTTCGGATAGTATATGTTCATGTACGTGTAGTTGAATCTCATTGTCTTAATTGTAGTTTTCGAAAAGAAAACTGCACCGTATTTTTCTATTGATTCCACCTCAAAGGCTGTGAGTTATGGAATAATTATACAGACAGTGATATTGAAAATCTGGAAAAATCGCATCGGTTCTGTCTAAAAACTATTCAGCCATTTGCAATGAGCACAAGCACGCAATACACCTTAGCTGCATTGGACATGAATTCAATTGAAATCAATGTCGAATTTAGGAAACTGACGTTTCTAGGGCAGTTATGCCGCCTTCCATGTAGATACTTGGCAAAGAAAGTATTCCTCAATCGGTTATTTAGTTTTCTAAACAACGACAGGCAATATGTTGGCTTTATACCTGATTCCTACAAACTGTTACAAAAATATAACCTCCTGACTGTGTTAAACAACTTCGTAAGAACTGGTGAATTTCCGTCAAAGAATGTTTGGAAACACATGTTACATAAACAAGTACTTATAGCATCGAAACAAGGTAGGACAGAGGCTTTATTGCAACAAAGACCGGGCGTAGTGAATTACTTACCAACACCTTGTAATACATCTGAACTATGGTCAATTACCATAAGTGCACCAGAGTTACGTCCCATGTGCTATGTAGTATCGTCAGTTATAGGGAAAACAGTCTCCAGGAGATATGCTGAACTTTGCCCATTGTGCTCAATATCATGTGAAAATTTACTTGATCATATTATGAACTTTTGCCTGAAATCACTTACACCGCGTACATCCATGTGGAACTATATCATAAATTCTTGCGGAATTTACTTCTATATTAGGTGGATAATGTTGACACGCGAGTGCCAACTTGACGAAATCCTCACTATAACACTAGAAAATGCGAGAGATGGGCAGTTCACCCCACTTAAGAGTTATGTATTTACTGTTTAAAGATGTCTTTAAATATAATCAATAGTTTTATTTGTTCAAAATAATGCATTATAAATATGAGATTGAAAGAAACTGAAAGTCATTCAATATAGGTAACACACAGTATTGACACAATTGTGTAGAACTAATTATACAAATGTATATTGTATGAGTACAATGTATACTTTAATTATTCAGTGACGTAAAAAATGAAACAATCATATTGTTACGGCCTTTTACCTTCAATTTATGTATGTGCACACACGTATGAGTCGTCGTTATTATTTATATGTTTGTTTGCTTGTTGTTTTTCCCCATTCCTGTTGCATAAGATTGTTCTATATTGTAAATAAACTAACTCATAGCAATATGTATGTATACGTACTTAAGTTAATCATAATATTGTAAGCCAAATCTTTATATAAATAGATTATACTTCATATCACTACAATGAACAAAGATATTTCTGATCTTGTATTTCGAGTCTGTATGTTTTCGGCAAGATGAGTTTTGATATCAATACAATTAAATATTAAACTATCTGAAAAGTATTGTACAACATTAGAATCAGTAATCAAGTTGAAACAGGTTTAATAATCTGTAAAAAAAAGTACAATAGAAAATGTATTTCTAGTTGAGGTCTCTTGTTAACTTTCGTTTCGAACAAGATTGTCTCACATATAGAACGAAATTTTAATTCTTTCTTACTATATATCATATATTTTTGGATGAATATTTACCAATAATATCAAGAGAAAGACTGATAATTATTATATGTACTCCACAAAATAATTACAAGCATTCTGACAAATTCTTTAACGCTGTTATACAGAGCTGACATTGTGATACATTTCTATCCTTTATTCAATCAATCAATAATTATTTATGTGTCTGTTATTATAGCTTACATATTTATCTATTTACCTTAAATATGAGTAAGCTTCTAGAAATATTGATTTCTGAATTGCTGTTTTCTGTAAATTGATATTGCTTTATGTTTACAGTTATATATTTGACTACATGTTATTATTGTGTCTAGCTGTTAAACTGTTTTGTTAATTTTTGTAGTTATATGTTTGTATATATGTTCAGCTCTTCATGTACATTGAAGGAAATAAAGTATCTATCTATCTATCTCAATTCTGTGATATTTTATTACTTTTGTTCTACAGTTGTTGGTGCATCACTCATGGTTTGACTCTTATGACAGTTCTTTCAAAAGACATAGAGACAAATACACGTATTTTGTAACAAGTTTTATTAGATAAATATTATAATAAAATATATTTACATAAATGTTTCAAAAATATATAAACGTAATTAAATTTCTATCACTATTTAGGTAAAAGAATATTGTCGATCACATGAATAACACCATTGCTTGTTGGAATATCAGCCATCACAACTTTTGCATTGTTTACCATAACACCGCCTGCGGAAGATAAAAAGCTACTTATTAAAATATCAAAAATATCATATTTGTTTCAAAATTAATACAGTACTACATATATATTTTTGTCCTCTGTTTGAGTTATAGATTTCAACTTATTTCTTCGACAATGTTTTGTTATAGATTTTCCCAAATTCTCAAACTTACAAGACTATTATGCACTTATAGTATCCTGCCGAGTGGCAGCTGTAAAAAGTTGCCCCGTACTTCAGTGTTGTTATAGATTTCTGGTTCTTCGGGATCATTGATGCCAGCACTATTAAGTATTGGGAATTGAGTACCGCTCAAGACGGTAATAGGGGACGTGAGGGATGTGCACTTATCCATTTTATCATGCAACTGCTATGGTAACTGCCCGATAACACTTGCCTGATAATTATTTTTGATATCACGTCAGTAACCTGATATCAAAAATTAGCCCCGCCCATTTTAACGACTTTTTTCAATTGCTTATATTCTCATTTTCATCAGCATGTGAATTCTACAATGTAATCTCATACCCTTACAAGTCTTGAATCAATATGCGAAATTTATTTATTTATTATTTCGATTTCAATTACGAATAAATTAGATAGCGAATAGTTTTAGCACCAACTAAATGAAGTGACGTCATAATTTATATTGCAAATGACATCATCGATGTTCACGTCATACTATACATGTAATCATAACAAACAGGCTAGACGATTTTCTTTGAGAACTTGTAAATGTTTACTTTATTTCGCCGGATTATTATTTAATAAGTGAACAAATTGTTTCGTTTAAAAAATAAGACGCATGTTTGTGTAGCTTGTGTTTGATTGCCGATTTGACTTTTCTTTGATTGAAATTATCGTGAACTTTTGAATTTGACAATTCAAGACAAAAATTGCAGTAAAGTTTAGTTTATGTGATTCTAAGCGGGTTTTTGGATCGATGTTTAAATTAAAGGTAAGAATGTTATCGTATTAGGCCTACATTCTGTTGTATCTTTTATCCGAGTCGAAAGAAAAAATGGTCGCCAATTACAAATTCTAAGTTTCAGGGGCGGTGGAATTTCTTTTCAAGAATTATTTCTTTGAAAAAAAAAATCCTCCTTTTTAACGAAATTTGCTATTTAAAAGTAGATTATTTTGTTATTTTGACAGTTATTATGTGTTACATGATCAATAGAAAAACGTGCTACTGTCTTTTGATATCAATTTTATCAGGCTCGGCTGATAAGGGCAGAAAGGGCTCGGCAAGCCTCGCCCTTTCTAGCCCATATCAGCCTCGCCTGATAAAATTGATATCAAAAGACAGTAGCATGTTATTCTCTATATCCCTCATGTACAGACTCAATCAAACCGAGCCTGCAATTTTGTTGAGAGGGATCACTTTTTTTCCCAGATTTTCAGTTGATATGTATCAATAAAGTTATTTATTTACTTATTTATTTTGTAAAATTTTGTGTTAATTTCCACTAACAGTTTGAAATAAAAATCGTTGTTATCATATTTCTATTTTCGCAGCTTTGAGAGAGACTGAGTTATGTTCCTTTTGGATCATTGGTATAAATAATAAAGACATTTTAAAATATTTGATATAATTATTCAATTTCACTGAATAGTTGATTTCATAAACATCTGTTAATAAACTCATTTTGTACCCATGGCTATAAAAATATTATGCGAAGAAGTTATCTAGCTAGTCTAAGAAAGATCGATGGTTTCTTTCCACGTACTTACACGTGCCTAAAATACATTGAAGAGAAAACAAAAAGTGAGAGGAAAACCAACAGTAACATTGAAGTAACTCATTAAAAACTCAAAGCTTTTTCATGTCACAAAAAATCACTTCTACTTGTCACATGTAAACATCTTGGTTGCTTAAAATATGACAATATCAAGGGGAAACTTGCTTTCTTATATACTGGTTTCTATAATCAGGATTTAAGGTTAAAATTAAGTTCCTTTTTGGTCATTATTGACGATGTCAAACTGTATGCACATCAGTTACTTCCCACTGATCTGCACAGTAACCCGAACAAAGAAACACCAATTTGTAAGGGATGGTATCCATTTAAGCCCGAGGGGTGCGTCTGCGTTAGTCCTGGCAATAAATAAAAGGATACGTATA